CTATGTAATACATGCATTAATTTTCTATTTCTAGTACAACTTGTGCACATGACTTTTGGTCTAAATTTTATACACTGATCCGGAGTAAACATAAGATTAATGCAAGAGGAAGTTATATCGAGTCCTTGATAATGGTTAACTCCATTAAGTGAATAGGGCAAAGGATGAAGGATTGAATGTAATCTTTGACAATTATCAGCTCGTTGTAAAATAAAAAGCAATAATAAAAATAGGATAGGACTAACTATAATTTGAGCTAAAGTTGATTTATAATATCGAATCTAAAGGAAGAATTTGAAGATTTGAGTTTTCATAATAACCAAAGGATTATGAATTTGACTCAAAACTTACTTGTAATATAGCATTCCTTTTTATCATAATCCATAATTGTTTAACAAATAAATAAGTATTTTTTGCTTTTTTGTCTGCTTCGTCATTTAAAATAGCCAGACTTTCCGTTGATAAAGAATCTGTCATTTTTTATTAACAGCATTAATCACACACTATGAAAAAAGAAAGAAATTAAAAAAATCGACATCCATAAAAATGAAATTTTCATTATAAATTTAAATTAGAAATACAAAAAGGACTTAAAACAGAATAATACACTAGATCATTTTAGCTGATGAGTTTTTTTGTTGATCGGAAATGATAAAATATTTGAATGTATAAGATAATTATCATTAACTTAAAGCATAAGGTAATGAATTATTATTTTTTTTTCTTTTCTGTTTTTTATCAGTTTTTTTTCTACCTTTCCTTTACTATTTATTAAATAAAATTAATAATGCAACCCTTTCTTTTGTTTTTGTTGATAAAGAATTTAACTTTTTGCTACGCGTATATTCAGTATAACTGCTATATTCTGCTGGCAATCTTGACATTATATCTCTCTTGATGTATTCTTCTGGACTTTGTAAAAATACTAACAGTTTCACTTTAAATTCTCTCATTAATAGATCTCTAATAAAGGTATTTACTATACTATTAGGTTGAACGTTTAAAGATTTAAAATCATTAGTATTTGTGTATTAAATAAGTTCATTCATTGTAAAGGAAACATTTAAAAACCTGAGACTTCTTAATTTAATTTGACTATTGATTCTTTTGGCAATTATATTTTGAATTTGAAAATAAAGTTGTTGAAGCATTGGGGTAGTATCTTGATCTTTTTGAGAAGATTGAGAAGAAGTGGTAATAGGTTTATTAAGCATTGGTGATTCTTCAATTTTAGCTTCTTCTTCGTCTCGTTGATCAGATTCTTTTGATAACAATCTTTTGGTAGGATTATTTACCGATCTTAGAAAATGAAAATTTTCTTCTGATAACTTTTCTTTGATAAGGATTTTTATTTAACGTTGAGTTAGGCTATCTAATGATTTATATTTACTTGTCTGCGTATATCGAATTAAATCAACGGTCGTCAAAGAATTACTAAAAGATTTAAGATGTTTTAATTCAACATTGAGGATTTTTTTTTGCATAATAATTTGAGCATAAAACTCTTCAAGTTTGGAAATAGTTCCCTGAAATTCTTGATCATTGAAACTAACTTGTAAAGAAGAGGAGGAAAGGTTATTCGTAGAGTATAAAGGGGAGTCATATGCTAATTCATCGTGAGTTATCTCTAATCTTTTCAAATCATACTCATCATTTTTAATGTTATCTCTTAATTTCGAACCTTCATCCCCCTTCTTATATCTTCAATTTCATTTAATGAAGTATTTCCTATAGATAATTTATTAAATTCGACCAAAATATTAAAATCCTTTCAAAGTTTTCTAACATCTTAGTTTCTTTTGCTTGCATGAATTTCTAAATTTTCGATGTGAGCTATTAGATAATCTATTAATTCTGATTGATAATCGATTTATTTTTGATACGTTTTACAAACATTTTCAAATTCGTCTAAATTCTTTCCTAAAGTTTTGATTTGTTATTTACTACATTCTTGATATAATGTGTGTAATTGCAAGCTCATCTTATTCCCAATCTCTTCAAACCGTTTTACTTGGCCTTCAATGAATTTATAAAGTGGGGAATTTAGATCTTGGTTTGAATTATTTTGAGAAAATGGTATTGTGGTACCTTCCATTTAATTAAAAAAAAGAAAAAAAAGAATTTTTTCACAGACAATTATGAATATTACGCCCTTAAAAATAAAGTTATATTGTGGTACAAATTGATTGTATCCTAATACACACTATTTTGGTTGTGAAATTACTTGACGATATATCATCAAGTTGTTTTAGAGATTTTTTGATTTCACGAATTAATCTTTATAATGCTTTGTTTTTTTTAAAAAAAAAAAAATAAATAAAATGTTTATGATTGAAATAAAAAAGTTTATTTAATATTTAATATCTGGTGATTTCATATAAATTGTCTTACGATCTTTGCATTTTAAAGAAGGCCATTAGTTTGAATATTCTTCCTTAAACTCGTTATAATTTTTTACTTGAAACATAATGAGATAAGTTATTAACGCTAAACCTATCATTTTACCCGATATGCTAGAAATTGATTCTCTTGCTACTGGGCATCAGAAAATTTTAGACATAAAAAAGTGTTGTTTCTTATAAATACATAATACATAAATTTAATAATAATAATAATAAATAGTAAATGATAAAACATTTTAAAATAAATCATAAGAATAATTTTTTTTAAAGGGTCACATACTATCAAAATACTAGTGATAACATAATTGTACAATGAGTAAGGCTTCTCTCCTTTTCTAGTGACTTGATAGTCTTTTATTGCATCTCAAGTATATAATGATAATTAGATACAAGACGTAACTTGAGTTACGTGTAATAGTTTTTAAATTAAAATCCTATGTGTGTAGTAGCTTTGTCATGTACTCATCCTCTTTTTTTTATTGCAGATATCTGGAGTTGTATATTTTTTAAAAAACAAATTAATAATAATAACCAACTGGCTTGTCCCAACAATCTGTTGTAATATCACAAATCGAAAGGATCTGGTTGATTCTGTGGTTGATTATGAATCACGAAAAATAAAAAAGAACAAATAGAGAAATTCAGTCAGCAAAAGATAAAAGAAGATTGTAATATAACACTGTCCATAATTCACTTAAAATAAGTCACAACAGGTATCACTAAGAAAATTATGATGATGTCTTATGAAATTTTGTTAGCTTTGTTAATGTATTACTACTATTTTTACACATTTATTATATCATTCAATAAATATTTATGTGAGAAATAATTTTCAATATGAGATTACCAATTAGCTGATGTTTGGAAACTTTTGAAATTGAAAAAGAAGCGATTCTCCAGAATTAGGAATCTATCAATATCGTCAAATAAATTATTAAGAATAGCTATATCATTTCAAATCAATTATAGAATACGTGTTAAAGAAGTATTCGAATAATTGAAGTAATATACTTTTCTTTCCTTAGTAAAGATGCTTGATATTCAAACTCAACATAAGTAACAACTAATAGATTGAATAAAAGTGTGAAAAGAAGATATGATACTATAAAGAAATATAATTTAAAAATCTACGTGAGCAAAAAAAAATCCTATTACCTAGCATGATGATTGATATGTTTACTAATGCAAATTATTCAAATAAGAATTGATCATATATATTATTGAACGCAATTGCAATATTTCAAAAAGATTCTAACTATCAAAACATTATTTGCTTGTCTAATGCTTAAGAATTATAAAAAATCATTGATCTTACAATTCAGTTTATGTTAATTTTCTTGAGACATTTAACGAATTTCTGACATACAAGTAATATACTGAAAATAAATGAATAAATAAACCTTAAAATTTTCATAGAATAGAGCTTATTTAGTTTTACACATTTTATTAAATACAGAGGGTGATTACGGATACCCGAACGATTAATTAAACTATTTGAATATATTTATTATATTAACTTTTTTTTTAGAATAAGCAAAAAATTTATTTGTTCTGAACATTTCCTATATATTTTATTAAAAA